CATGGATTACATAAGTCCTCTACCATACGATTAATTCTCATATTCGGTCCCTCACTCACATAACCATCATTCCATACACTGACTCCATCAGTCACTAACCCTGACCCCCATCCTCGTATACACGCACACACGCACACACACAAAAACGCATTCACGTGGGTATATGTATTCAGATAACGCATATATTTTCAGGATGAGAAAACCCCTTAAATCTGTTCTGATTCACAAAACATTATGTCTGTTGGTGTTAAATATTGTTGCTTTGAAACAAATGTCGCTATTTCTCAGTTGTCCTTACGTAATAATTCTAAACATGTCGTACACTCATTCACACCAGGTGTGAGAATAAAGAGCTGTTTGCAGGTTTAATATTTTATATTTCATCATGAAAAGAATGGTTGCGCTCCGATCACACACAAAGGTAAATGTGTTCACACTCTCGTTGATAATATTCCTGTAAATATCCCGATGGCATCTTCAGTTACCCATGCTTTTCGTAAGAGGCGACTGACATGTTTGGGTGGTTATACTCCCTGACGTGGATGATGCATGTCATCTAATGCCATTTACGTAGATCGAAGCTCATGACGTTAGTCACTGGATTGTTTGGTCCAATTTCTCGACTTTTGACTGCGAAGTAGGTGATTGCCCCTTCAAATCGACAGGAGTTGCTTCCCTTATACTATTTCGCGTAGTCACGGTAGGAAATATTTGCCTCCATTCATGACCAACTCGTGTTATTCCGGGACAAGCCGAATAGGGAGGTTACGGAAAGGGGCGAGTGGTGACGAATGAGTTGCCTCGTGACCCTGGTATGCCTTTCGTCACCACTCGCCCCTTTCCGCAACCTCCAAGAAGCCTCGTCGCCCTCTCGATGCTTGCTATGTGCGAATATACGACAAACCAATCAGAACGCGCGTAATGGTTGCCGTGCTTTGATAAAAATAATCCCGACTACTCAAATCATTTATGGAATTATGTAATTGTTAAAAAATCATGAAAAATATCTGTCGTCATATTGAAAGTACTAAGAACGTAGCTAACAGATATTGTGCTTTCTAATGTGAAGTTTTTGATAAGAATCATGCGATTGACGGTGAGAGATTCAAATACACGCACGTACGTTTGTTGACAACGGCTCTCACTGGTCCAACTGAGTGTATTTCTGACGATCTTGCGGGCTTGACGTGGTGATTGTACGTGTGCTTCCAACAGTGTTAGGAAATGTAATTATCAATCGCTACGAGTTTCAGAACAATGATATTATATCTCTATGTAACTAATCAATATAATCTTTAATATTAGGCATATATTTCACATCTCTGGAAATATTTTCCTCTGGCTTTTTTTGGTCATTCATATATTTTTCAGCGAATTCACTCAATATTCCACCTGGGGTATGAAAGCAATGTTACACGTGTGTAGTCATTTTTGAGTTTCTGCATTGGGATATAATGCAGCTGTGTATTTTTACAAAATCTATTTGCATATTCAATAAAACAAATCCCATTTGTGATTATTAAACCCTTTTCAGAAATATAATTGGAAATATAAGGTGAACATCTGGTAATAATTACGTCAGAATATGTCCTTAAGAAATATGTTTTTCTCCTTCTTTTACTTGTATCAAGGAGTTTTAATTCTTTAAAATAAATAAGCAAAAACAAAAACAGCAATACAATGTATGAGTACTTCGGTGATATTAAGTACCATTGGAATCAAACAGGAATAGCCTTATCGTTCCTATTTGAGGTGAGGTGAGGTGAAATTGGGTTTAACGTCGTGCTTGAGAATATTTCGCTCATATGACGACGTGCATGCGTGTGTATGTGTATGTGCGGCTGCTTGTACTAGCCCAGACTTAAGCTGGTTTTATAGTGCTTGCTCACTGAGATACCATGCCGCAGTGAAGCATGAATACCCCACTCAGACACATTATACTGACTCCGAGCCGACCAGTCCTTGTTGTACCCATTAATGCCGAGCGCCAGGCAGGGACCAACAAGTACCATATTTTAACGTCTTTTGGTATGACGCGGTCGGGGATGGAACCCGCGACCTTCCGCTCTCCGGGCGGACGCTCTAACCACTACACCACGGAGGCGGTCCGTTCCTATTTGAAGTAGTTCTGATGTTCATACGCCAATATGAAATCCTTCCACAGGGGCACCAGTCGCTATTCGGCTTGTCCCGGAATAACACGAGTTGGTCACGAATGCCTGGTATGCATTTGTTACCACTCGCCTCTTTCCGTAACCTCCAAGAAGCCTCGTCCCCTTATCGATGAATGTTAAAATAATGTGCGAAAATACGACAAATCAACAGAAGGCGCGTTAGATTCAGGGTACTTTGATAAAAATAACCCCCTATGCTTAAATCGGTCACACCATTGTGTGCTTGTTTCAAAAATCATGATATTTATATATATCGGCACTTTGACATTATAAAGAACATACCTAACAGAATTGCGTTACCTAAATTGAATTTCTTAATAAGGATAGGGGTATGAACAGCGACGGATATAAATACACGCATGCGCGTTCTAACATAAGGGCTCTCATGTGTCCAATTGAGTATATTCTTGGACAATCTAGCGGACTAAGCTTTAACGATTTTACGTGCGGTTGGCGAGGGTTTGCGCTAATGTTGAATAAAGCTACGAATTTCAAAACAGTATATTTATATGTAACTAATCAACTTGAAACTTAAACTCTGTGCTTACATTTCGCTTCACTGGGGATAATTTGGTCTGACGTTTCTGAGGTCCTTCATATTTCCTCAGCGTATTCAGTTTAAAGTCATTTGTGAATATCTTGGGACTTATTACAGATGAAATAAAACAACATTTGGGATTCTTTAAAAACACGTTTTTAGAAATACCCATTTGTGATTTGGGAAAAGGTGGGAATTCTCCTTACTAGTGCATGCTTCTGAGAGGTGAAACATATCCAAATTGTTCACACAATCATGACAAAATATAGCGTTTTCTTTATTCTATATACCTGAAATATTCTATATGGAGACAGAAACATATTTTCTAGTGATCATAGAGATCGGGGGTGCGTTTAGTCGAGCTCCTCCGCGTTCCTATCGTCTTTGACCGTTCCTATTAAAACGGACAGTTTCAATGTAGCATGCTCAGACCAAGACGATGGAAGGGATTCGGCAATTTGGTGGTGATTGAACGCTATCAGATGAATGATACACCTGAAGGGTAGGGTATACACCTTGGCCAAATGTCCATGTCTACACTTTTCCAATCCTTGCACAAATGAACATAATAACAAAGAGGCAGCTGAGCAAAAAGAGGCACAACCTATTTGGTGTCAACTTACCCCCAAATTGTACACAGATGTTGTCGATCATGTCATCTCGTTTTCTACGTAAACTCCAAATGTCATTTACTTTCATTTCAAACTTTCCCCGATCCCCTGAAGGTATATATGTTAACTGTATCTATTTTCACCAGGTGTTGTAACAAAAAACAAACATGTACCAAGGAATGAATAATTCCTAATGTCTGCCGCGTGGGATAGTAGTGGGAAATGTTCAAATATCAAATGGTTTGACTCAAGTGATGTTGGTTTATTTCTTAGATTAAGCTCAAACAGATCCTTTACATTCTCAGCTACTGTATATATTGAAAAGGTGTGTCAGTATTCAAATGTAGGGTTGATCTTCGAGGGATTTGCGGCATTAATGGGTACAACAAGGACTGGTCGGCTCGGAGTCAGTATAATGTGTCTGAGTGGGGTATTCATGCTTCACTGCGGCATGGTATCTCAGTGGGCTAGCACTATAAAACCAGCGTCAGTCTGGGCTAGTACAAGCAGCCGCACAGACACATACACACGCATGCACGTCGTCATATGAGCGAAATATTCTCAAGCACGACGTTAAACCCAATTTCACCTCACCTCACCTCACCTTACCTCGTGGGACATTTGTCGGACTGAGCAATATATATCCTTCTACAAAATATTGTACATACGATGACTCGTCTTCAAGTGTAAGAGTCAAGCTGAAAATAATATTATGATGGACATACACAATGGTTATGTTTAGGCTGTCAGTGGGAACAACTACACCATTTCCACGGAGGGCACCTAGACATTGGATGGCAGCTGGCTGGGACAGAATACGTTTTTTCACAATATTGTTTCCTCTTATTCAGTGAGTGTTTTATACCAGTGACAACTGACTAGCTTAATCCACTGTATGACAGACAGACAACAGTTTCAAGACTTTTTTGATAAATGATTTCACAGCATCTACAGTTGACCACTGTTGTGTCGAACTCTGATAACTCGATATCTTGGTTGTCTCAATAAAACATCTCGGTCCCGGCAAAATCCTTCATAACTTATCATTATTCAAGCTCTTTTAACTCGATACGGATGTCTCGATATTTCGGATATCTCGATATAATTTCATGGTCCCAACAAGCAAAATTACCCTTTAACTCGATATTTGCAAAGATATTTCCACTCGATATTCACCTACCTTTCATGAGCAACTATCCCTCTGAACTGAGATTGTTTCACACGTTTTACACAGGGTGCGGCATGAATCAAAGGGATGCGGTAGTGTTAACTAATCAGGGCTAATCGAGTTGAAGGTGTCACATGTTTGTTATTTAATTAGGATTAATTAAGAAGGAACTAATTAAGAAGTACTCACTGTTACGACTAAACACAACTGATAACGGATAATAGTTTTGAATCAAAACAAACTGAGAAGCGTTTTGTTTTCTTTCATAGTCATATGTGATGATATGCCCTGCTCGGAAGTCTCGAAGAATATTTTTTCTTGGTCCCATGAATATTCAGACAACGGTGTTCGACTGTATACAATCAGATACAGCACTATTTTGTAAACAGGCAGCCTCCACTGAACATCTGTCAATTATTGTGAAGTATTTAAAAGAGCAGATTTCTCTCAATCGCCAAAACGTCTCTAATATCTGAATGGCCCTACACAAAGAACACATCAATATGATATAAACCCATTGATTGTTTATTGGGACAGTACTTATACAGTCAGTATGAAACATTCAGAGTCTTGTGAGGTACATGTAGTCAGTGAGGAACTTGACTATTGCCCTGCCCGACCCATCAAGCACATGCTTCTCCGCATCCACAGTTGCCAGATCTCGGACGGCTTGGGGAAGAGTTCCAGCTAGTTGTGCTGCTCTTTCCACATAGCCAGTCCTGGAATGGAAGGTTACCAGTACCGCTGATACGTAAGCTGCATGCAGAGATTTATCGTAGGGACGAGGAACCAGACGAATGGCCGACTTCACCTCCACTTTTCCCAGGGCGGATTTATCGTTGTACGTTCCATGGACAAATTCTGCATAGTTGAGGGCGTTGTGGGTGAACTCGTGGACTATCTGCTCAGCCATGAAGGGAACGCCCCATTCCCTTCCAACACTTGGGTCCATCCAGAACATGCCAAGGGCTGAACGAACTCCTCCAGCTAAGTTAATTTTGTGTTCCTGTTTATAAAAAGCAATGCAAGATATCATCTGAGTCATTGAGTCATAGAGTTCTGGGTGAGTGTTATTGATCATTCTGAATGCTGCATGTACAGTGGTCGATATCTTCCTTTGTTCTTCCCCTGTGAATATGTATTTCTTTGAAGTCATGTAGGACGGTGAAAGGGACATCACTCCTGTGACGTTCAACCAATCTGCAATGTCCTCATCATTAAAGACGAGTACAATCTCATCCTCCTTCACAGGGAGATGAATGGGTTGAATTTGTTGGATGTCCTGAAAGAACGCTTTCTTGGCTTCGCTCTCAGACACCTCTGTGCCCCTGAAACCTTTGACTGCTAATCTCTGGTTCATTAGGTTAACATCTCGACGGAAAGGCCAGTACAGGTTCATGAAACTATCAGTCAAACCCATCAGGGAAAGGGATACATATGTTGACAATGGTTTCAACGGATCAAGGGACAAGAAAGTATCACTCAAGATGGGCAGGGATGTGTTCCAGTCTTGGTAAAAGTAATCGGCTGCTTTGCTGATGTTTCTCCGAGAGTCGTGCACCAGTGTCAGCCAATCAATCAGATTAGCGAGGTCAAGGTTATGACGTAGCATATTGTCGTGTTCAACATGATACTGAAACCATGCTACCAATTCATTTTTCAACAACTTATAGAGTTTGGCGTCATCAATTATTTCTTGGTTAACTGGATCAATGCATGTGTTGGCGTCTGTGAGACTGTCTTCTACATCCCTGGAAACTACCCTCATTAGATTCTGAGGGTTGGAGACAAGCAGGCCGTCGTTACTTTCAACCTTAGCTGACAAACTTCTGATCTTATGTTCCAGGCTGTCCTCTACATCTCTGGAAACTGCCTTCATGAGATTCTGAGGATTGGAGACAAGCAGGCCGTTGTTCCTGTCAACCTTAGCCGACAAACTTCTGATCTTATGTTCCAGACTGTCCTCTGCATCTCTGGAAACTGCCTTCATGAGATTCTGAGGATTGGAGACAAGTAGGCCGTCGTTACTGTCAACCTTAGCTGACAAACTTCTGATCGTATGTTCCAGACTGTCCTCTGCATCTCTGGAAACTGCCTTCATGAGATTCTGAGGATTGGAGACAAGCAGGCCGTCGTTACTGTCAACCTTAGCCGACAAACTTCTGATCTTATGTTCCAGACTGTCTTCTACATCTCTGGAAACTGCCTTCATGAGATTCTGAGGATTGGAGACAAGCAGGCCGTCGTTACTGTCAACCTTAGCTGACAAACTTCTGATCTTATGTTCCAGGCTGTCCTCTGCATCTCTGGAAACTGCCTACATGAGATTCTGAGGATTGGAGACAAGCAGGCCGTCGTTACTGTCAACCTTAGCCGACAAACTTCTGATCTTATGTTCCAGACTGTCCTCAACATCTCTGGAAACTGCCTTCATGAGATTCTGAGGATTGGAGACAAGTAGGCCGTCGTTACTGTCAACCTTAGCTGACAAACTTCTGATCTTATGTTACAGACTGTCCTCTACATCTCTGGAAACTGCCTTCATGAGATTCTGAGGATTGGAGACAAGCAGGCTGTCGTTACTGTCAACCTTAGCTGACAAACTTCTGATCTTATGTTCCAGACTGTCCTCTACATCTCTGGAAACTGCCTTCATGAGATTCTGAGGATTGGAGACAAGTAGGCCGTCGTTACTGTCAACCTTAGCCGAGAAACCTCTTATTTTGTCTCCAAGTTGATCTTCAATGTCTCGTGAAACTTTACTTAGACTTTTTGGCAGCGTGTCCATCCCCTCAGCCCCCTCCTTGTCATCCGTACTAGTAATAAGTTGTAGACTGTCCTCGAGGTGTTTCAACAGCTTCAGTTTAGCTTCATCGGGTTGTGTGTTAACATAAGGCACATAGTATTGAATGACATAGCCCTTGGCATAGGATTTCATGTTTTCCTTTATCTCCTCGACAGTACTCTGTGTAATGCAACAGGCCGTGAGCATCAGCAGGAGGTACATCGGAGTCAGCATGGTGATGCTTCTGTTGACAAAATATGTAAAGTTCTGTTATTTTTAAATCAATTCAGTTACGGGTCTTAAGATACTGAAAGCAACATAAAATCGTTCACATTTCAAATACCTGTCTTAGAAACGGTTCAAGTTATTTATATTCAGATAACAGACATACTTTTTAGTTAAAGAGTGTATTCTTAAAAGACGGTGGTAGGGCTTTGTCTGTCTTAAACCTGTCTTATACAATTGAGTGTGAAAGATGATGTGGTAGCAAAGTGATTGAAGCGTTTGTGTGACAACGACGACCGGGTTTGATATCCCATAAGTGTGAGTTTCTGGTCTCCCCCAGATTATGTTAGAATACTCCCAAATCCCTGTATACAACAGTACGAAACTTCAGCAAATATAATATATTAGATAAGGGGAGAAATATAGTATTATAGCACTTATCCCGATAGCCATCAAAATCAAATCTAATAAGGACCAGTGAAAGACTGGCGGAATGCACCGGCGATGACATCGTTATTCAGCTCAAGCATCACAACTTCCCGATCCTATATTTTCTACAAGCAGGTCTTTCCATAAGCAGGCATGATCCAACTGTAGACTATCCCAACGATACATGCATAAGTGAGGTTGCTTTTAATGTTCGGAACGGTTCTTCAGAATTGTGTCAGTTTGGTGTGGAGTAAGTGAGTATGGTTTTACTCCGCTTTTAGCAATATTCCAGCAATATCACGACGTGGAGCATCAGAAATGGGCTTCACACATTGTACCTATGTAGAGAATCGAACCGAGGTCTGACGAACGAATTCTTTAACCACTAGGCTACGCTACTGCCCCAGTTTGGTGTGGAAGGAATGCCCGACATAATGTTGGTTTTCACTTAAGGGAACCCAATCGCTCGTTTATGTCTCTGGCAGAACATAAAGCATCATTGGTTGTAATCTGGGATTTAAACCTGCATATGATTGATTGATTGAGTGAGTGAGTTGAGTTTTACGCCGCTTTTAACAAAGTTCCAGCAAAATCACGGCGAGGACACCAGAAAAGGGTTGCACACAGTGTACCCATGTTGGGAATCGAACCCAGGTCCACGGCGTGTCAAGCCTACAGGATAGCATATGGTTCCATAGCGAGTTGAGAATAGTATTGTCACAACTTACCTGTTCTTGTTATGTGTTTAGCTGAGTAGGTGTTGGAGTGTGGTATGAAGGGCTCCTTGCACAAGTCATATTTATACTGTGTTGACGACGGTAAACGACAGAGTAGATCCTGTTTGTCCTCATCATATGCATGATTCCCACCACAAGGAGTAAACAGCAACTGCGCCATTCAAGTGTTTTCTGGAAATAATCTAGCAGCAGATAACATAATTTAGGTCACAAGAAACGATAGTGTATCTTTTACGCATACCTGATTGTGCGTTGACTGAACAAATGCCGGGTTCATCGTGCCAGCTAACCATGATATGACCATACAGTTAAACATGAATACCCTTCCTAACCACATGATGCTGACTTTGGGCGGACCGGGTCTTGTTTTATCCAACTCATGTCTTCCCACAGGCATCAAGAACTCTCTTTTACCGCTTGCTGGTAACATGCCAGGGATCGACCTCTCTCTGGGCATATGCTTACAATATGGTTACAATGTGTGAAGCCCATTTCTTATGACCCCTCTGTGATGTTGCTGGAATATTGACAAAAGCGGCATAAAATAACACTCACTTACTCACTGATGGCTCAATATACCCACAAAACACAATAAATCTGTCTGTATCAACCTTGTATAATGACTTTGCGTTCTTGTCATATGAAGGCATGTTAGCTAATCAGTGAAAGATATATGACCCAGGTCAAAATTGGTTCAGTAAAACCCACCAGCAATGGTATACATCTGTAGCAGGTCTTTTTTCCAAAAGATAATGACGTACCAAATCCGTTTTTATGACATTTTTTTCCTATAATATTAAGATAAAAATAGCTCCAGTTAATGAGGTTGGGGACAAATTAATGATCATCTCAGAAGGAAGAGGGGATTTGAACCTACGATATGCTGATCTGGGCACGGCTGTGACACAACTCAGTGAACAGTGATAATAATACCTGGGTCCGAAGAGCGGCTCTTATAAATTATGTCCTCGGTTGTGCTGAATGCTGAATTTTCTACAGTGTACATGGTCTGTTGGGATGCATCCGAATGCATCAACAGATGCAGTCTGTTGTGTGTCGTTATACACAGACACTATATCGTTGCTCATAATATTAATCACTAGTTTGCCTCGACCATCCAGGACTTCGTACATTTTGGTTGACCATTGCTGGAGGCGTAATCCAATATATTCTTACCCGCTTCGTCATTGTACTTTTGTAACACTGTTTTCAAGGAGACGATATACAAATATCCAGCAGTATGTTCCTGGTGATGTCAAAAAGTGTTTTTGTCGTAATCGAACACAATATATTTATTTAACCAATTTTTTTTCATCATTGCAGTTTGTATTTCATCCATGGGTTTGTAAGTCCATTTCCATTTACCTCGTGTTACGTTAACGGTTTTTTGTTTCCGAAGAAAAAGATGAATTTTACTGTGATCAGATTACACAATGTTTTGGAGGACATGATCATAACAAATATTTGAAAGACCGTCATTGCGAGGTACATTATGTCATGCGCATTTTTAGATGCCGTGTTACTATATCGTTATCAATCAAAACACAGGTGCGTGAAATCTCATGACATCTGTAAACACAATGTTGTTATTGTTGCCTAAACACTATTGCAGATTATGGCTGTGTTGTGCCTCCACTGATCGAGTGTTCACTGACAGTGACACTGACAATACAAACCAAGAAATGTCCACAGACGTAGTGAGTGATCACAAGTACTGTTGCTGTTTTCAGGTTAATGTAAGGGTTGAGTTTATGGTTAATGTAGTGGGGATATAACGTTACCTGGAGTAGTGGGAGCGTGACTTTATCCAGTAACCTGCTGTATTAGGACTGACTGACTGACTGAGTTTAGTTTTACGCCGCTTTTAGCAATATTCCAGCAATATCACGGCGGGGGACACCAGAAATGGGCTTAACACATTGTGCCCATGTGCGTGCTGTATTAGGAACTCAACGCAACGTAGAATAGTAAGGGCTCGAGATTATCCAGTAGCCTGCTGTATTTGGAACATAACGCAACCTAGAGTAGTGGGGGGCGTGTCATTATCCAGTAGCCTGCTGTATTTGGAACATAACGCTACCTAGATTAGTGGGGGCGTGACATTATCCAGTAGCCTGCGGTAATAGGAACATAACGTTACCTAGAGTAGTGGGGGCGTGTCATTGTCCAGTAACCTACTGTATTGGGGATAAAACGCTACCTAGGGTAGCAGAGACGTGCCATTATCCAGTAACCTACTGTATTGGGGATAAAAGGCTACCTAGAGTAAAAGAGACGTGCCATAATCCAGTAACCTACTGTGTTGGGGATAAAACGCTACCTAGAGTAAAAGAGACGTGCCATAATCCAGTCACCTACTGTGTTGGGGATAAAACGCTACCTAGAGTAGCAGAGACGTGACATTATCCAGTAACCTACTGTATTGGGGATAAAAGGCTACCTAGAATAACAGAGACGTGCCATTATCCAGTAACCTACTGTATTGGGGATAAAACGCTACAAAGAGTAGCAGAGACGTGACATTATCCAGTAACCTACTGTATTGGGGATATAACGCTACCTAGAGTAACATTACCTAGTCGTTACATTATCCAATAAACTTCTGTATTATGGCTCTCACGTTATGATGTGATGCCATCCAGTAACCTGCAATAATAAGCGAGAACATTCGATCCCCACCTTAACTTAGTGTAAGTTTAATTATATCGGGAATATGGGAGGTGTCACAATACCGACCACAAGGTATATGTCAGGCGTTAAATTACCGAGTATGTCAGAGGCGTTTATGTTACCCATTATATTGGGTGTTGAACGTAACCCAGTTCAGATGGTCTGGAATTACCCGGTACAACGAAAGTGAAACATTACAAGTATATTGAAGGTTTGACGTCGGCCAATATGTAGACAGTCATTTGCGAGTGACGAGGAACGACGTATTTTCTGTGAAGAATGAATTCAGTTTGGAAGTCACGAGTCTTGGCGACTGACATATTTATTTACTTCACGAGGGACAGATAATAAGTTCCTTCCTCACGAGTAGTTTATGTTCATATTTGCCATCGTCAATTTGGAACGTGACAACCTGAGAAGATCCTTATATTAATTCTTGTTATGTGAGAGGCGAATTATCATTCACTACACCTGTGGAACGACACCAATAATGATCCCAGAATAGTTAAAGAGTTCGATTGAAACGCATCTGTTTCTAGGAAGATGATACAAAAAATATACCAAAAGTAACCATCAAGAATATTTTTGTTAGATTCATTCTGAAAATTATTTCAAAGTAAATGATACAGTACATCTGTCAGGTATTCAGAGACGTGCGGTTTAATTCAAACCGTTCGCAATCCAGTTTAGCGGTCGTTGAACGTATACTGAACCATAAACACCCACTCATTCTTTTGTCATGTTGAAGGTGTAGCATGAACTAATCTTTTGAGTCCTCCTGACAAGGTACGTAAGTCCCAAAACTTCCAATTTTTTAAACCTAGTATTTTTGTTATTTTCAATTTCGGCTAAATTTGCCTGCAGTTACCAGTGGCTGAAGTGATGGTGTAAATCCAGCTAGGGTCCATGCAGGGAGCAGCAGCAAGTCCCCATGGTCCCACAGTATGGTGATCTACCATCGGTTGTTGGCGACCTTTAGCCTGTTTTCATCTTGTATTGCCTTCGTAATTAAAATAGTTAGAGATTTACGTGCTAGTTTTAGACACCATCTGTGATACTCTAGTTATTTTACAGTCCTTCGATGACTGATTATTTAACAATTTAAAATTATTGTGTATGCCAAACATTTCTAGTCACTATATGGCTGAAATATTGCCGCGGTGACGTTTAATTTTAACTCACTCATTCTAATCTTTCGAAGGTGTAACATTAGCTGGTTCATTCGAGCCCCACCTTAACACTTGTTGTTTGTGTACATGTGCAGGACACTTTCAACAATTGGGGAAAGATTGACCATTATTATTATTTGGACTATTACATGAACTAATAGTTTCAGCTACTTACCTTTACATTTCCTCTTTTAAAACACATGGCATTGTCACCCAGTGGATGTCAATATTTTGTGTTCAAAGAACTTCAGCTGGAAAACAGAACGATGAGGAACTGACTTGGAATGGTGACTGATTATTGTAGGAACAGTTCATGAAAGTTTAGGATGTAAGATAAATACAGATTTCTTGTGTTATAATGCTGTTCTAGACAGTCTTTACCACAACTCAAGCAGTGCATCAGATTTTACATTAAACAGCAGGTGCAACCTGTTTTTGTTTGGTGCAACAAGGTGATTGCCTTAGGTTGCAATGGGTGCAAGTAGGTTTCATTTCATTAAATAGACCCCTGGTTATCTTTGTTCAATACGAATGATGCGAACTGGGTGCAGGTAAAGTCAAACGTACACACTTTCCAGGTTTCTTCCCTGGCCACTAATAGGCAGATGCCTCTCACGGTTAGTCCATTGTCCACAACCCCGTACACCTGATGTACTCGTTGGCAATTATGATTTTTACAAAACCCGAATGACATTACTTGTTCAAGAATCATTTTTAAATCATCTATCAACTCGTAATTTCTTAAAAGGTTTAACTGACCACGGTAGCTCCTTGTTTGACGTGATGTGAGTCGCTCCGAACTTGTACTTCTCCAATACTTCCAAATACATATAGCTCTCTTTATCAGTGTGTGGTCATCCTGTGTATGTCATGCACATTGTCCATCTTGTATATCACTTCCTCGTTCACTGTCACCCACTTCCCGTGAATACAGGTTCCATGGTGATTGGATGTCCTGACAGAACGCTTTCTTGGCTTCGCTCTCAGAAACCTCTGTGCCCCTGAAACCTTTGACTGCTAATCTCTGGTTCATTAGGTTAACATCTCGACGGAAAGGCCAGTACATGTTCATGAAGCTATCAGTCAAACCCATCAGGGAAAGGGATACATATGTTGACAATGGTTTCAACGGATCAAGACACAAGAAAGTATCACTCAAGATGGGCAGCGATGTGTTCCAGTCTTCGTAAAAGGAATCGGCTCCTTTGCTGATGTTTCTCCGAGAGTCATGCACCAGTGTCAACCATTTAATCAGATTATTGAGGTCAAGGTTATGAAGCAGCATATTGTCGTGTTTAACATTATGTTGTATCCAGGCTAACAATTCTTTTTCAACACTTTATATAGTTTGGCATCATCAGTTACTTCTTTATGTACATGATCAATGATCGCTTTGATGTCTGTGAGACTGTCCTATACATCCCTGGAAACTGCCCTCATTAGATTCTGAGGATTGAAGACAAGCAATCCATCGTTACTGTCAACCTTATTCGACAAACGTCTGATCTTCTGCTTCAGACTGTCCTCTACATCTCTGGAAACTGCCTTCATTAGATTCTGGGGATTTGAGACAAGCAGGCCATCGTTACTCTCAACCTTATTCGACAAACTTCTGACCTTTTGATCCAGACTGTCCTCTACATCTCTGGAAACAGCCCTCATTAGATTCTTAGCATCGATGACAAGCAGGCCGTCGTTACTTTCAACCTTATTGGACAAACCTCTGATCTTGTGTCCAAGTTTATCTTCGTCTGTAGTCACTTTACCTAGGCCTTTTGGCTGCGTGTCCATCCCCTCAGCCCCCTCCTTGTCATCCATACCAGTTATTAGGAGCAGGTTGTCCTCAAGGTGTTTCAACAGCTTCAGTTTAGCTTCATCGGGTTGTGTGTTAACATAAGGCACATAGTATTGGATAAGATAGTCCTTGGCATAGGATTTCATGTTTTCCTTTATCTGCTCAACAGTATTGTGAGTGAGGCAACAGGTCGTGAACATCAAGAGGAGGTACATCAGAGTCCACATGGTGATGTTTCTGTTGACGAAATATTTGAAGTTCTATTATTTTGACATGAATTCAGTGAAGCGTATTTTCTACCACAATAGATCACCAGAACCCACTTCTTAAGAAACAGAACGCAACATAAAATCGTTCACATTTCAAATACCTGCCTTAGAAACAGTTCAAGTAATTAATATTCAGATAACAGACAGTCATTAATATATAATATAATTCTATGTGTAAGATGATGCTGTAGCCAAGTGATTATACGTTTGTTTGACAACGACGGCTGGGTTCGATATCCTATATGGGTACAAAGTGTGCATGTGTGTTGTGTCCCCGCGATGGTTATGTTAGAATACTGCAAAAGCAGTATAAAACATATCCACTCACCCATTCCAAAAACTGCATACAACATAGCGACACTTCAGCAAATATAAGGTATTAGTTATTGGGGTAAATACAGTACATGTACTATAATACGTATCCCGACAGTCGTTAAAATCAAAATCTAATCAGGACCAGTAAAGACTGGCGGAATACATCAGCAACGTGTTTTCACGATGACGTTGTTATCCAGCTCAAGCATCACAACTTCCCGATCCTATAATTTCCACAAGCAGGTCTTTCAACAAGCAGGCATGATCCAACTGGAGACTATCCCAACGTTATACCACTAGGGTATGTTATGTCCATTGTTCTGGCAGGTTGATTTTCTGTGTATCAACCTTCTATCTGCACGTGCAGAGGTTGATATGTGGATAACAACTTGGCGGTGCAGGAAACACACGTGCAACAAGCAATGTACGAGTCCATTCGGCGCCCACGTGGTATAAGTAGGTTAGAGCGTTGAAATCCATATCACCCTTGAGGAGGGTGCTAACGTATACATACATGCAAAAGTGAGGGTTTTTTCAGAATTGTGTCAGTTTGTTGTGGAAGGAATGCCCGACATAATATTGGTTTCAGGCGTTTACCACTTTAGTGAATCCCAATAGCAAACCATAAAACATCTTGGGTCTTGGAAGGTAAACACATTATTTTAATGATAAACCCACCCTAAATATCTTAGATAACACCTGTTAATCTATTAATAAGATATTAAATAATGAAATCTTTGTAGATCAATCGATATCAAAAGAGAGAGAGAGAGAGGGAGAGAGATTGTTACACTAAGGTGGCCTCCGGTTCATTATACAAGTAGTACAACATGTATGCACCATGTTTAAGAGGGTGCCATTCATATTCGTCTTACAATTGCAACTGATTATTTCTTATTCATGGCAAGAAATACATACTTTGCTAAACAATTAATAACGTCTGGATTTTGGGATGATAATAGCTGATAAAATGTACGATATGTTGGATTTACAATGTAATATTCAAGTAACACTTTTATCAAATCTGTCAAAAAAGGACATAATTATTAACCAGAAATGGTACTCTTTTTCAATACAGGGAACAATGCATAGATGACAAAATCGTTGATCTTTAGCAATATGAAGTTTTCTGTCTTCCTCTATCATCAATCTGTGATTTGAACACCTCAATTTGGTAAGGGCTATTCTATATGAAGTAAAATTCACAACTGACAAATATTCTTCACAACATTATTCCTTCTTTAGACATTGACATACAATACTACGTTTGGGAAACGAACATATTAATTCAAACAATGTCTGTTGAACTATTTAGGAGATAAACGTACTGTGTTTGGAAATTAGATGAATGTTAGACCGAATTGATAGTCTCTAAATTTCATTTGAAGCCAAACGCGTAGCAGAAGACACTGCGTAATCCGGCATGGGACGAGAGGAGAATTGAACTCGTCTGTGAAGGGAGTGGTAGGTGCCATTCGGGTCTTTTTAACATTGCAACATATAAAATATTCTGTCCAAACAACAAAACAACCTACTGTTTATTCAATGCAATAATGTAACACCTAATAGCTTGGCTTTAATAATCAGAACTCCACACGACCAAAACCAGCTTATTGTTTTGTGTGCCGCGTTACTGTACCCCTGGCCACACTATAATGGAATCGTCTGACCTACTTATTTTCTTTGGAAGTAGGCAGTTACGCAACAGATTGAAATGGCGGACGAGCCTCTGTTTACATTTTGCGAAAGGTTGAAATTCGAAGTGACAGTGGAAAATACTTGACTGATTGTCGAACCTGAACCCCTGCAGAATCGAAGAATACATCCTTTTCTGACCGACCTATGACCTGTAACTCATCAAAGACTGTTGATTTTTATGACCGGCGAGTGTGAATCATGATTTCACGTACGTGCCTCCAACCCGGCATGCGACGAAGGAGTGACAGTGCTGCTTTGTGTACATGCGACTAACTTGGGATTCCTTGGAACATTGTTCTCATCATTTGTGACTGGATTGTGGCCAAGCTTTTCAAAGTGTACGAACATAGCAGTGACAGCCTTGCGGGGAAGGTGGCAGAGAACGGAATTCTCGTGGTTCAATTTTTGACATTTTGAACGATGCAACGGGACATGATGGAGTATGAGTGGCATAAATTTTGTGTTTCGCCTGACCGTTATCTTGCGAAGTTCCCATTCTAAACGGAAACAAATATACCAATTACCAGGTGGGTAAATGTTTACGAACGTTTTGCCGCACAAATAGGGATAGATAGGAATGCATTTTTACAAGGTTTTCTGATTTATATGTTAGATATTGTTTGTTTATGTTTGGGGCTGTGTATTGTAACTGAGTTTGAATATTTTTGTAATAGAAGGTAATAATTATGATAGTGAGGTTCCCTCATTATCGTGGAGGAGAAATCGTATAATTGTATTTTCGAGTTTTAATAAATGTTTCATCAGCATTTCCATCACGTCTGTTGTGTTGATATCATGTTGGTGGCCAAGCTGAAGTAGTGCGGCAGTGTTGTATACGTGCGCAGTGAAGCGCCGTGAAATCAGACGCAATCAATCCAAATTGATACTGTCTGATTTTATTGATTGACCAATCAAATTCGAGCATTTCACGTAGCCATGGTAGAATGACATATACCTTTTGTTTAAAATCAAATAAGAACTTATTTAAACAACGTACATCCTGATTGTGCTACATATTACTAAAACCATATTTATTTAACAATTGTTTTACATTATGGGCTCAACATTGTCTACCAGCACCTGCTAATTCGTATTGATAACAGTATGTGTGGAATAATATTTAATTATCCTTTTGGTATAATAACCGTGTCCAATATTTTACAATTGCTGAATATTGTCTAGTTTTCAAATTTAAACATCCATAAAGTTCGGTGCATTTCTACCAAGAAAAAAGAATTTGCTTTTAAGAAATTATTGTATACTCTGTCTGCATCCAGTGAGGGATGAAATACCCATATTTCTGAACTAAAACTAAAGTGGTAAAAACTGTTGAGGAGAATAGATAACATTAATTTTCTGAAATTTGATAGTTGGAACGTAAAATATTTAACACTTTCTGGATATGACAATTTTTTGGCGTTATATGCCATGACCCACTACATAAGAAAAGAACACTCAAATACGTGTAAGAAGACACAATTTCTAGTTGGGTATCAATAAAATAATGGTTCTCGTATTTCGTTAATCTACCACCTTGCCTGAAAACCATAAATTTAGTTTTACTAATATTGACGGTTAAGGACCACTTTTCACAATATATTGCAGGATTATTCAATGTTTTTTGTAAACCTCGGATAGTGCTATCAAACAGTAACATATCATCGGGGAAGAGTAACATGAAAAGTTGACAGACACCAATGTCACTGCATCTATCTTCTTAAACACCAAGAGATTCAATAATATCATTAACATATAATGAAAATAGCAGTGGTGATAGTTGGCAACCCTGTTTTATTCCGCTCACACAGTCAAACAGTTGTGTGTAGCCACCTTGCAGTGATATACATGATTGAACATTGGTGTACATATTTCTTATTAATCTAAAAAGAAATACCTTTGACATTGCCAGTCCAAAGTTAATACATCAAATTTGTTATATTGATGAAATCAAATGTAGCTTTAAGATCAACGAAACAACAGTATAGTCTGCCCCTTATATAAAGACAAATATTAGAGACCAGTGTATCTAAACACAAATATATTGTGCTTGAATGAGTTTATGGAGTTCATAAATTTTAAAAAGGTTATAAAATCAAGATGACACTACGAAGGCGATACTTCAAATTAGACCAGATGTTTGTTTTCGTTTGCTATGCGAGTAGCAGACATCATGGTCGATCGGTTGTCAAGGGTCATAAATTTGTTTGTGTGGTAACATTTTATATGACGACTTGGTACGTTCTAGGTTAATTCGAGTCGGCGGTATTGGAATGAAAAAATGTTGTTTTTGTAAATTTTGGTTGGCAATAAAATTAGGGTCGGTCGGGCGATGAGAGACACAAAAATAAAAATTCTGCCGTAAGTGAATACGTTGTCCTTATGATAACATGTACGTCATCTAAAAGGGCGGCTAATGTCTCCAAAACAAACTCATTCAGTAAACATGAATGGGGAGTCATTTTAACAAGCGAATGTAGTTTCAAATTGCTTTTTTTATACACTTTAATATCTAAGCTTGATTCTAGCAGACTTCTGCCCATCCCAAGCACATAAAATGTTTCTTGCATGTTTTATTTCCTGAAGTTTGTGATGCATTTATTGCGCAGATTTTGCGTTTAAGGGGAGCACCAAGATAAAAAGTCAAACAAAATGGGGATCGAGAGGCTGGAACATAGCAAAACCAAGGTTGACAGATAATATGTAGAAACGTAAAATATAACAACAGCTGCATATATATCATTTTTTAGGTGAGGCCAACTACTATTTTACTTACCTGGTCTTGTTATGTGTTTAGCTGAATAGATGTTAGAGTGTGGCATGAAGGGCTCCTTGCGCAAGTTATATTTATACTGTGTTGAAGACGGTAAACAACAGATAGATCCTTTCCTGAAGGAATGTTTGAACAGATAAGATAGTTTAGGTCAAATGAACCGACGTTGTATGTTTCATGTGTCACCGGTTCAAGGGGTTCGTTATGGTTATTTTGGAACAGATAAGACATTACAGCAGATGGGCGTCTTTCGCGTGACCTCGAATTAATCATGAAGACGCCAAATGTTGGAGATAAATGAACGATTTCACTTAAACACAGCACTTTATTGTTGATCTGTTTGTCACGACGTAATGCTAAAGGACGATTGTTCTTTCATTGGGTTGGGCAGAGGTGGCAGGAGAAAATATTCCTGTTGGTGTTGGGGGATTGGGAGTAATGATAATAATAATTATGGATACTTTTATTATTATTTAACTCCACACCAAAGAGTGCTCAAAGCACTAACAGAGCTCCATAGTTCATTATTGCCCCGGATGACCCAAGCTGCCTGTGAAACGCTAGAAAGTTATAGTTACATGACTTATCCCACCGGCTACCGGTTGCTGGGTTAACAGAGGCATTTTGAACAAACTCACTTGCCTAAGGTGAGTCCACATCAGGAGTCAGGCTGTTAAAACACGGTCACCCATCCCAGATCCCTCTGCGTCCAACTTGCTTAACTTCAACTGATTTGTGGCGTGAGCTATATGCTCAGGAGCACACACACCACCAGGTAGTGAGGTAAGGTGGGATGAGATTAGGTGGGTTGGTGGCTGGGTGGATTTGTCGGAGAGGTGAGTTAGGTTAGGTGAGATTTGGATTTGTTGGGGTGAGGTGAGGGGACATTACGTGGGATGGGGTTCGATTTGGATTTGAGACTCAGTGAGATGAGGTGAAATTAGGTGGGATGGGGTGAGGTGAGATGAGGTCATGTAGGGTGAGTGTTGTCTTCGGGGAGGAAAATTAGTTTCATTGGTTGTATGCACCAATGCAAATAAGCTGAAACACAAGACTGTTTCAAGCTCTGTAACCCAGTTCTCGTAAATGTTGATGCTTGGACAGTGTAGACGTAAGGCAATGACTAAAAGCCTACATGTTGTTATACACTGGTACACTGGTACTTACATGGCTTAGATTGCTTTGGCAACGTAAAAACAGAGTGCACTTAAATATCCGTCCATATTATTAGCCAAGTCACATATATTCCGTAAAACTATAGTTATAACACACCTGATCACTAGTATCATATTTCTTCAGTCGTGATATGTTATGTTCTAAATCCTAAACTCATCAAAACACATTCAGATACCTACAGTTGAATAAGGTTGAGTCAAAGGTGTACGTCCCTTCGGCCATATTGTTTAGCATTCGTAGAAACGTGGACGTCCAGAATCTACTAACCTCTTTTCTGTTTCCTACGCAAGAGGGCCCGTAAAGTAAGTCACGGCACTACGCGAGACCTTGAAACTTTTCATATCTTACTTCGAATGGTCTCATGGTTGTCACTTGACAGTAAGGGAATCGATAATCCTTGCAGGAATAACAAATTTCCAGATCTAAAGCATCCCAAAATTAGCCAACTATCACGACTGTCAACAGCTGTGATACAGAGGGTTGTATTACACTTAGTCCGCTCTAGTAAAGTCATATTTGAGGAGTCGTACTTGGAACCAGAACTGGTTCTAGAATATACCTTGTCACCGTAAAATCTGGTATTCTTGACGTAAGCTAGGCCCCGTCTCGCACATCATCGCAAGTTTGTGCCCACAAAGGAGCCGGGAACCAGCTTAGTACCGGGAAGTAGTGCTTCGCGAGACTTTACAGGCCCTATAAGGCGTACATACTTATTCACCCCTTCCAGTTTTATCCCTTCTTTAAAAGGTCAATGACCAACTGTTCATGATGTACGCAATAATTACACTCTCACGTTTCGTGTGTCATCTCTAGCGCCTATACTAATATACATATTCAAAATTCACGATTATGTTATGTTATTACATGAGCATTTTCATCAAAACAGTAAAGGACCTTTTTAGTAAAGTTAATTTTCATTTAATCATTGATTTTTTAAAAGAGATAGACTTGTTAAATGAATGTTGATATATGTTTTGTAAATAGATAAGGTTTTATAATTGGTAGTTCAGATTTTCAACTTTAGATTGGCTGTATCCTCAACGGGTTGAAGTAGCGTAAAATGATTGTCCTCCTGAGAGGGTACGTAAGACCCAAAATTTTCACGTACCAAGTATTAAAACGTAGTATTTTGTTCTTTTAAATTTCGGCTTTAACTCCGTCCTACAATCGCCAGCGCTGAAGGGATGGTGTAAAATCCAGCTAGAGCTCCATGCAGGTAGCAAACGTAATGTAAGTCCCTATGGTTCCTAGTATGGTGATCTACCTTCAGTTGTTGGCGCCTCTATAACTTCCTGTTTTTATATTGTACTGTCCAAATAGTTCTATTAGTTTTAACTTTCCACACTCAGTTTCATTCTAATTGTGATATTCTAGTTGTTTTACTGTCCTTCGTCGACAGGTTTTATCATATAAATGTTCCATGTCAATATCCAAATATGTTCTCGTCACGATATGGCTGCAATATTGCCGATGTGACGTTAAATAATAACTCACTCACCTCATGGGCATTTTCATATTGGACTCTTTAAGGGTCAATATTAGTCATATTAACCCGAAGCAATCTGTAGTGGCCCATGGCTAAAATTGTTAACATTTACTTATGTACACTGAAAGCCATGTTCAGCTGGACTGAACCTACATGAAACTGAATCGATGCTAATTACCCATATGGGAAGGAGGACACAAGGTAGTATTATTCCTGTAAGCCCCTAGGGGAGGTTACACCTTTTGGTGAACGTTGATTGGCTGTTTAAAAAAAGGGCGATTTCATTGGTTAATAACAATGTGCCGGAACTACTTCATTCATCTGTTCAGTTCATCCACTGTTTTACACTCAAACTCTCTTGTATACGAGAATAAGAAACACAGTTACTCAATAACATGCAACTCTGTTTATTTTATAATACATCACTATTCAACGTAAACATTTGGAAATGAAAGTTGCAGAAAAACAAAAATTACAATGTTGCAAAAGGTAATACAATACGTCTGCTGCTGCGTTGTCATTATGAATGCATAAACACGGCGTCATCCAAGACTCCGATAAACGTGAATGACAAAGTGAAGGTTGATGGCAACATATTGGGAAGAGTTGTAAATATTGTTCAACCACTGAACACGTTAAATGTATGTGTTGTGAGTACTGAACAAGGCACGAGATGCGTTCAGGCTTCGCATCCGTGTTGTGCCTGAGACTGTCACAAGTGCGCCACCAACCGAGCCTCCTAGATCTTCATGTTGGCATACCCGAATCTGTCATGATGAGCGATGGAAGATGACTTTTGGACGGCCCAACTTCAATTGCATCTGTAAATTAAAGATTTTTATGTTCATGACGATGACATTGACTCTTTTCTGTCCCCAAAATGAGAAACGAAACACTTTGAATTTTTTTCGAAATCTCAAAGTTGTCACATCATTCCTCACAGATAAACTGAATGAGCATCGTGCTGTCGAATATAGCCCCCTTCAGAACTTAACTTAAATATTGTGTAAATTTTTTCATTGGTGTGAGGAAGGTAAATTGCTGTGAAACACGAGCCAAAGTTCATTAGTCGGATTCAGGGGGAGCCTCGAGCGACATCTGTGACGAAAGAATTACCGGTATTCACTCACGTCATCAATCGAATTTACAAAGCTCAGGGATGTAATCAAATCAAAAACGAAATCCTTTAAGAAACAAGGAAAAGAGAGCCTACCGTTTCGTGTAGAGCCGGTAACCAATGACGAAGTAAGGATGCTCCAAGAATCTGGTCGAAGCAGGGTATCCATTTGCCTGGAGGTAAGATTGATTCCTCTTTGTTGGAACACCAAATTTTAGTCTTCGTTCGATCACTTCCCACAGCTGACGAATGACATGGGGAGATGTCACACGAAAGCGTGATTCCACCGACACTGAGTATCTTGAGTACAGAGGAACGTCAGTCAAGACTCACACAGATTATCCCGATCCACAGGTATCCGTGTTTGTCACACTGACCTTGGGCTCAGCCGAATGATCCAAATCATGCTGTCCGTTGTCGTTTAAAGAAACTGCGCTTCCCTTCGACCAGAAAAGCAGCTTCTGCAAAGTTGGTGAAGTCCATTATATCAGCCACAAACCACCAGGGGAATCCCCTCAAGGTGAGACATAGTTCGAAAGGCAACCAGTAGGTATAAATAAGATAGGTTCATAAAGCTGAAAGACATGAAACATGCATGAGAGGAGGCAAATTTGTCAGAAGCACGACAAGAATCAAAATCACAGTGCCTGAAGGCATATGATCCAAGAACATTGACGAGCAATGTCAGCAAATAATACATATTTTGCAAGATTCACGAGTCATAAAACTTTCAATCCATAAGCACGTGCTTGCTCGAGGAATCACGGAGGGCAACGCAGCGACGAGTCAAACCTCTGTCGTCTAGCTTCAAACGCACTCACTCCAGTAATCCCATATGTTGTTCCTGAATACACTAAACGCCAAAGAAACGTTACCCTCCTTCCTTAATGCATTTCTTAAAATCCTACTCAGGTGAGAATGAAACTTTCTGCTGCATTGTGATGCGTGGACGTCCATGATGGAAGGAATGCTACGGTGAAGCCCAGTTTGTCTATGGCCCGCTGATTAAATCTCATAACCGTGATACTACTTGAGGGCATCCGGGGCGTTGCCAACAACTTGTATGTTGACCCGATCTGCTCTTCTCTCTCTTCGGCTGTTATTAATCGTGGCATATTTCTCGTACTTTTTGTATCCCTTATCATGTGCATTCTAGGCTCTCTTTATACCTTGCCAGAACAAGTGAAATTGTTCACAAATACTGTTTGAATATTGCTACGTTTTGGTGATTGATATTGCTATGTATGGAAGCAGAAAATGGGAAAATGTTACTTGAAAGCAAAATGAAAGTTAACAAAGATCATTT